AATTCCAGTGAAATATATTTATGTTTGTGGTTGTAATGTGACAAAATATGGAAAAGTTCAAGGGGTATGAATACTTTTGCAAACCACTGTATAGACAGGGGTAAATAAAGTTGGAAGAACAGTTGGGACTGAAAAACACATCTTACAGCTTTGTGGTTTGGGCATATATAACCCAAGAAGTTTATGTTTGAAATTTGTATTTGAAAGTTCTGGTAAATCAGTCACTTTTTTAAAAAACATGTCTGATATTGGTTTCAACACAACAGCTTTTAGGATGAATAAAAGATCAGAGCAGGGTGGAACTGACAAATGAACATCAATCTGTTTTGTTTAAAAGGCTGTGTCAAGTCTTCTGAGTGTTTCAGCCTCATTCATTCCAACAAATGAGGCTGTTTATTCAGAACTGTTGTTTCTCTTCAAGCTGAGCTGAATGGGACAAAACGGCAACAACACGAAACAGAGTGATTGGATTATTGGGCCCGATGAGAGGTAGTTGTTCTCTCTATCAGAGCTGTTCTCTGAAGTGCTTTCAGCAGGATGTTAGTGCTGCAGCTCATTATGCGTTCAATTTTAATTCATTGGATCGTTTTTCTGAAGCCTCTCTGAAAGAACAAATGATATTCTCAAAGTCTGGAGTTACTCTGATGTTGCAAAACAAAACATAATTTAATTTTTTTTTTGTTTTTGACACAAAGGGCTCTTTGTTCTTTGACTTCACACCATGCTATCACTGTAGACCCACTAGGTGTCAGTGCTGCACAAGATTAACTGAAAACCTTACTTCATCTGGTTTATTTCAGAGTGCAGCAACCCTGTTTCAAGCAGTGTTACAGTAATCACACAAAAAAGGAGTAGTTAAACTTAACGCAAATTTTAAGTTCGTTGTAAAAAAAATACTACAACACTTTTACACTTTTGATGTTTGAAGTATTTGGCAACCTGAAATAAACTGTTCTCCTAAAGCTTGACCAGGAAATAAGTATAAGTGGATAACTGACTATTAGATGTCCTTGCCTGCTTGAATGAGATAAATAAAGAAAAAAATGCTAATGTAATTAGCTTCATTTTCTTTTACGTATAACAGCTGGGAAATTTTAGCTTTCACTGTGATTGTTCCAGCTGTTTTAAGTCACTTTGGAAATCCTCATCATCTCAATAATCCATGTAGGAAAATCAAAGGACAGAACTTTCTTGACTTTGCCTATTTTTTAATGATTATTCAAGGGATATCCCAACTGGGATTTCCTCAAAGCAGACAAGAAACCCAAACCAGTCGGCCATCGGGTAAAAAGGAGGACCCCAAACCCAGACCAAGACCAGTGGTCAGTCTGCACATTGTGGTACTTTCAGAGAAACTGAGACGTTTAGTTTCCAAACATGATGTCCTAGTGCCTTTCAAACCCCCATAACACATTATGACGAYTGGTTCACCCCAAAGAACCAGTCCTCCAGCACAAACATATTACTCTAAGTTTTACACTCATCTACAGGCCAGTGGGCACTCTTTCATTTATGAAGATGTTAATCTTTAATAAGGAGGAACTTCGATTTGAGAGAGGAGTAAAGGAAGACATTCTACCTCCTCGGATTGAAGAAGTCTTTAGGATACAAGATGAAATGTTTCAACAAAGAGAAACCTGTCTAGAGCACCTGACTCAACCCTGTCAGATTTGACACTGGTCTTTATTCTGAAAGATTACTTTGGTGGTGAGACATTGTAGAACTGGACTGTTCACCTGTAGAGTCTGAACATCTGGTGGGAGAAGTGTTGAGAAGTTAGGATCATGTTCCTGCAGCAGACAGTATTCCTGGCTCATACCTGTCAAAGATCATTCCTCTTTATTTGCCAGGGATTTTTCTCCATGTTAAAGGACAGAAAATTCTTGATTTCTCATAAATGTTTTAGGGATTATTTGAAGGATGTACAAAGCTAATGACTATTCATCATGACAGGTGTTAAAAACAGACCAAACAGCATCCAAACCATTAGTAACATCTATCAAAAATAAATAAAAGACGAAAAATTTCAACATTTTCAAACAAACATTACAAACATCTTCATTCTTCCTGTTTATATTTGAAAAAGAGGAAACAGCATTTGTTTTATGATGTAATGTAATAATTAATAATGAGATGATTTCACGCAGAAGCACAGCTGTTTTTCCTTCAGCGAATTGGATTATTTTATATAATTCAAAACAAAGGTGTAATGTGCTTTGTTTACAGAGATCATCATTCAATTGAGAGTATGTTTGTCTCATCTGAACTGCTGACCAGATGGATGTAAAGATATGTTGGATCTGAGACTACAGTCAGCATCTCAGAGATTCTGCAAGAGTTTTAACTATTTGCAGCAGTAGGAGGCTTGAAAATGGAAAAACTTTTTGAGTTACTCTAAAGGCAAAAATCTGTCAAACCCAACATTATTGCATTTTCAGAAGAAGGAGCCAATAGGGACACTGGCCTAAATGGAGAAAGAGTTTAACAGCCTTGTTCATCTTTCTTTTTCTTACTTGTGTCATTAAAAAGGTTGAAGACATCTCCTTCAGTTCAATTTAAATGGTCAGTTTTCTGTGGAAGATACTTTCATCACAACAGCTTATTTAACTTATCAAGTCTTAGCCTCAACCTCACTTGTCCAAAATAGGTTTCTTGTGATTGCAAAAAGACAGTTATGCCAAACATGACCTTTTTCTGCTTCTGAAGAGAGTTCCTGACTCAGAACCTGCAGAGGATGAACTGATTCATATTCCACTACGTCGAGATCAAACGAACTGTGAGGCTGCACTACAACAGCCGCTTCCTGCTGCAGTCCTGGAAGATAGCATCATTTCTAGGAATGAGGAGCAGCTGTATAATGACATTAGAAATGAAAACGACAGGAGCCGGTCTGCAGGTACAGAGAGCAGAGTCAGCTGGGAAACAGCAACAGAAAAAAATGCTACATAAAGCATGTTAAATATAATCACGCGTTATTATTAATATTGACAAAGCAATGTGTTCKGAGTCCTTTTGGTTCCTGGGAACTATTATCACAAAGGAGCAGAGCATCAGCTCCCTCATCAAAAAGGACCCAGAGATGATGTATTTCCAGCGGCAGCAGAGACAGTGATGGTGAACTTCTCCACTGCCATCATCGATCCCATCCTCACCACTTCCATCGCCGTCTGGTACTCTGCCTCCACCGTGAAGGACAAGGCCAGGCTGCAGAGTATCATCAGGACCGCTGAGACATTGATTGGCTGCAATCTGCCATCTCTCCAGGACCTGTGCTCCTCCAAGATTCTGAGGCACGCAGGAAAGATTGCGACTGAGCCCTCCCACCCCAGACACCCTCTGTTTGAAGCGTCTCACTCTGGCAGAAGGCTGTGCTCCATCAGGACCTCCTCCGTCACAGAAACAGCTTCTCTCTAAACGCTGCAGGCCTCATCAACGAGGCCCAGGTTTTACAATGACCGATGGCATACATGTCACGTTGTGAGAATTGTCCTTAAATTAAACAGATTTCCCACATTTTGCATGTCTTCACACAGGGCAATCATATGGATTTTTTCAAAAACTTTGCTTTAAGTCTCTGAGCCAGCAGGCAGGTTTGCAAGCCCCTCGTCCTCCCCTCCCGGCTCCTCTATCTCCACATCCTGTCTCTGCGGGGACAGTCTGCTTGTCCGCACAATTATGTTTATCACAAAGGCTTAAAAAATACCACAATATAGGAGATTACAATATAGGCGTTAGTGAACCACTTCTTAGGTCTACTTTGTATTTTAATTGTATCACACAATTTTTATTAGGGTGGCCCTTGCCCCAGCCGTCCCCCCTTTGGTGGCACCTCTGTTCAAATTTTAAAACTACTTTCAAGTCAGACAGATTTCCTGTTTTACTTGTAAAAGTGAACCAGTATGCAGCCTTCTACTTTACATACCTTTATATATATATTCTGTACTTTCTACTCCTTACATGTTTAAAAAAGACAAGAAGTAGAAAGTCATTACTTTTATTTCATTTTTGCGTGTTTTCATTCCAGCTTGTTATTGTAAAATATAAAAACTACCCATATAAATTGTGCCTCCTAGATAGAGTGAATTTAATTGTGGTTGAATGAGAAGTATAAATATACCAAATTCTGATACGTTATTAGTTTGTACGCAAACAACCCATGTCACACTCCAGCAGGACATGATCATTAAAATAAAAGCCCTGTACTTAAGAAGTATTTGTATTTCATGAATTATATTATTGTATTTGGCTGCAGCCCTCAGACTTTTCATTTTCTTGAAATGTTTGAGCAGCCTTGATATATGTATATAAACTGAAACAGCTGGACTAGTGCATCCTAAATTTAACATAAATTAATTGTTTTAATACAACAGTCATTTCTGCATTTTTGGGGGGAGGTCACCTACTAATAAATGTCATTACAGAAAATCTAACCTCTCATTTTAAATCAATACTTTTACTTTTAATACTTAAGTACAAAAAATATCAGATACTTTAAGACTTTTACTCAAGTAATAATCCTAAAGGAGACTTTGACTTTTACCAAAGTAATTGTTTGGTACGATACTTCTTTTACTGAAGTTGGCCTATCACTTTGTGGTACTTGATGCTTACTTGAGCCTAACTAGTGAGCATTTATCTATTTTTAATTTGTTTACATTTCTTAACCGATATTTAGTGAAGCACAAAGAGGTTTAGTGCTCTGCAGCTCGGTTAGTTTACATGTGAGTGTGATTTTGGACGTGAATGGCGGGGTGTCTGGAGGAGGAGGAGGAGGAGGAGGAGGAGGAGGGGAAAACCAGAGAAGCTGCTCCGGGCAGGTGAGAGGAGGAGGAGGAGGAGGAGGAAGGGCCAGCTGAGATGTTGCGACGTCACTCTGTGACGGACTCCAGGTTTGAGGCTCATCTGCGTCCAGCGGCGGCGGCAGAGGAGAGGAACGCTCGCTCCACGTCTCTGCTCCCCTCCGTGGCCTCCCCAGCGGCGCAGGGAGAACAAAAGACGGACGAACCGCACCGACACCCGGGCTCGCGAGCTCGGCTTCAGACCGCCGCTAGCTTGATGCTTCTCACTCCAGCCCTCTGCTCGTCTCCCTTTGTGGCAGGGGCTGCCCATGCAGCCGAGGAGGAAGACCCCCTAACCAACACTCTGGGAGAAGCCCCCAGCTTCTTCTTCTTTTATTCTCTTCGGTTTGTCGCGCCGAACAAAATCTCCGAGAGTTCGGCGCTAAAGCGTCGTTTCCAGTGACCGAGGAGCATCTCCTCGGTTTCGACGTCGTCTCTGCCTCTCTCCGTCTCCGTCTGCAACCTCCGGCTCTGACAGGACCCGAGCGACCGATTGATGTGTGGGATTCTCCCCCCGGATCTCTAAGCGAACGATGTTGCGCATCTCGGCCAACATGTTGGCGGCAGGGTTGCTTTTCCTGGGATTCTTGCACAGTTTGAAAGCAGTCTCTCCGTCCAGGGCTGTCGATGGTAAGTAAAATAAATAAATAAATAAAATATTGACTTAGAGATGCTGGGGGAAGAAAACTACAGATTTTAATGTTGTCTGCATGCAGTGAGAGAGTAGACCGAGGCGAGACAATTAAAGCTGTCTTTTGTCTCTGTCTCTCCCACTGTAACATGTGAAGACTGCAGAGTCACAGCATGCTTTTATTTGCTGACATACTATAAAAAATACCATAATAAATGCATCACAGGCCTGATTCATAGCTGCTTTTAATGTTATGTTTACAGCTTTTTATTGCTTGTGCCAAATATATGAGAATTTCCAAAGACCAGTGTTTAACATAGCTTGTTTTTTTTTGACATTTTGACAAATATTTATAAAGAAGGGCTGTTAAATACCCCCCAAAATTTCACAATATTTTGCAGTTTTAAGTAAGAAATTTTGTATTTCTTTGTTGTAACAGTGCTTCTTGGCAATCAATCTTATTCCATGAGAAAGCCTGTTTATGTTCTCATAAATAGTGCCACATTTGTCAGGAAAATACATTTGTGGGTTGAACCCTTAAAAACTTGCCAAATTTTCTCAGCCACTGCCGCTTATTCTGCAACTGACTCTTGTTTGGTGTTGATTTATTCATTTATTGACTAAAGGAATGAAGTCTGAAGAAATAAAGAATATGGGTGATTGAATAATTTATTCATGCAACAAACAGCAGCATGTGGAAGAACCATAGGCAGCCACAACAGCTTGGCGCCTCCTCATGCTGCTCACCCGCTTGTTTACACAAGCAGTGTCAACACAAGCGGGCCRTGGCAGAGTGGTTAGGGGAGTTGACCTGCAACCGGTGGGTTGCCGGTTTGATCTCCCGTTCCATCTGTCTCAGTCGTTGTGTTCATGGGTAAGACACTTCACCTGCCATGCCTGCTGGTGGTGGTCAGAGAGCCCAGTGGTGCCAGTGCATATACCCCAGGGCAGCTGGGGCTACAAATGTAGCTTACCACCATCAGTGTGTAAATGATTGAAATGTAAAGCTATTTAAAGCTCAATATAAGTTCAAGCCATTTACCATTTACACAATGCTGTTGGACGGGATCCCATTCTTCCTTTAGTACTTGTCGCAAGTCATCCAGTGTAGATTTAAATTGAACAGCATGCCCAAGCTGATCACATATGTATTCATTGGGGGTTGAAGTCAGGACTACAGGCAGACCATCCCATCTTTTCCACTACTAATTTGTGGACGTAGTCTCTGATGAACTCTGCTCAACTGGGGTGAGCTGAGTATATTCATCTTGGAGGATAGTCACAGATGCTGGAGATATGGGATTTCGTCTGGTTGCTCTCAGCACCAGGGGTACCAGGAACTCAGAACAAGATTTAATAACAGAATAACCTGCTTGGTATAGACAAGGATGATAGCAAGTTTTTCAAGTGTGCAAACCACAAATGTATTGTCACAACAAATGTAGCACCATAAAGGTAAAATAAATGCAATACATTATAAGAGTTTTAGTGAAATTTGTTGTGAAATTTTGTCACTTGAAAGTGTAGAAAACTCAAAAGTTAATTGTTTGTGATATTCTGTGAAAAAAAAAAACACAACAAATAATAAATATTAAACTGTGATTGTGTTGAAACCATAAAAGCTATTGTGAATAATAAGAATTTGTGTTCAGAGATCTAAAGTCCAACTTTCTGGGACCTGCCTGCACTTTGAATGATGTTCGTACTCTGAAGTATGTCCAAGCTTTGGAG